CCCTACAATTCAACTACCACATTCAAGAATACAAGCTCCATTTCTAATTACTTTTATAGCATCTTAAGTGCTTCACTGAAATTGTTAGGCACCTGTTTTAAGCACGTGCCTTTGTACTCGGCTCAAGTAGGCTGTAGGGTTTCACAAAACCAAACAACTTTACCACATTGTTATCAGCCCACTTAAAATGTTTCATTTTGTCCTTGCTTGCCTTTTAACACCATTCCACCACTGAACCCTAACCAGCTTTGGTATAAAAGGAAGATGAGAGTCAGACTCAAGAAAAATGCTACAGCTTCAGCACAGAGTAAATAATCCACATCTGCAACACACCTCTTGCAATTTAAGCTCAGGACACCACAGTCCTCAACAGCAACTCCAATTCTGCCTCTCTAAATTAGAGATCTACTTTCAGAGAACTGAAAGAAAACCTCTGGAACTTCAAAGCTGAGCAGTTCTTTCAGCGCCAAGGTGCCCCACAGTTCCCCAAGGTTAGCAGAATTCTCCAACATTAGAGAAAATACAGGCTGCCAGGTGAGACTGGGAGATGTACATTCACAGAAGAATATATAACAGGAGTGAGAAAAGCATACAAAAGCCCTTTCTGATAAACAATCAGAATAACCTGAAAATGCACAAAAAAAAAGTTTTATATCAGCTTTTAAAGGAATTAACACTTCTTTTATGAGAATATTTGCCTTGGATAGGGTGAACATCAACCGATCAATACAGCACCAATGCATTACTCTATCAATAGTGTATTAACAAGACCAGCAGCACTTCATATTTAATACCCACTGTATCAAATTAGTACTGTCATTGCCTGATGTTACAGAAGTTCATTCCCTTAAATTGCCATGGAAGTAATTTCTACAGTTATAAATGAGAAGCTGCAAATTGATTTGCATGTAGTAACAGTACCACTAAACCTGTGTTACCATGTCCAATTTTTCCCATCTGCTACCAGAGTGGAAGTTTAGGATCTATTTTTCCCAGAAGGGGACTTACCCAGCTGGACATCTATAACAGTTGGCTGGTTCTCCATGGGGAACAATGGCTTTGGAGGTTTGTCTGTGAGTAAAGCTAGAAAAGAAAATGAGAAACTGTAATTGAAAAATTGAGACCAATGACTGCAAAAGAAAAGCTCTGTCATGTAAGCAATCAAACGTTTGTACACTTGATGGCATGTAAACTATTAAATAATATGGCTGTTACACTGCCAATGAGTTACCACTTTCCTAGGGGCTGTGGTGGCCCCACTCACTACACAGAAATGAGTTACTTAAAGAATTACATTTTTAACACAGCAAAACAAACTCCATCTCTCACTTTTAATCTACATATAACTACATCAAGCATTTTAGACTCTCACCTTGCAAAGTTAACAATTAATTTGAAATGCCAATCAAATCTATTTCAGTGTGACCAGTCCCAACACATCTTCTGCTTGCCAAAACCAGTATTTAGATGCTCAGAGAAAACTTGCGCATACAACTCCAGGAGCTTCACACCCAGCCTACACTTCCACCCACCCATGTGGAGCACCTGCACCCTCTTTCCAAAGCCTAAGAGAGGACCCTGCCTCCTGTGACACAGAAGGGTCCCCCTGAGAGCAGGAAACAATACCCCAGCCTGGTCCTGCCAGGTGACTGCTCCAGGCAGCAGGACAGCCACAGACATACTACCACTGAAAACCACAGCTACAGGCTTTGTGATCTGGTTTGAGAGGTTAGTGCCAGACAGTGCAAATAGGTTTTGTGATTGAGGCTAGCTTGATATAAATGACTGAGTACTCCTGGAGATGAGGAGAACTGGGTTTAATCAAATACAGCATCTTGCACCACATGAAATTAAGCATTTCAAAATTACTTCAAAACTTTTCCAGTTGAAATTCATCACCTGAAATGGTTTGATCTTTTTGCAAAATGAATTTGCATTTTTCAACAGAAGACTAAGGCAAAATTGCTCTGACATCCTCAGAAACCTCAGCATTTCCTGATTTGACAGGAGACAAGCCTATCCAGAGGTTCATTAGCTCAAGCTGATGTTGCTCGTGGCTGGGGCACCAGGTCTTCCTGAACCAAGCGCAGGGAACTTCTCTGCAAGCTCCTAGCCTGCTCCCAAGCCAGCCTGGTATGCAGGGAAGACACCTCTCCCCCAGCCTGCTTCACCATGAGTCAATGCTCCAACACAGACAGCACAGATAGAGGTGCAGCACTCCCACCTCTGCTTCACATTAGTTTCACTAATGTAGCTTTGATAACCAGCTATCAAATGACAGCTGTGTAAAAATCAGACATAACCAAATCATTCTGCTACCAAAAAATCCCACAAAAATCATAAGCCTACAAAACATTTTTACATCTACAGAAAAGGACAAACTGTATTAAAGAGAAGATTGTAATACAGAGAAAATGTATTGAGATATACCTCTTTGATTTTGCTTTACAGTCAATACTATTTTTTAAACTCCTTAAGAAGTGATTGTCAGCACAATCCACTTCCCCAGTTCCATGTAAATGAAAATGGGGTTCCTTCCACATTTTACTTATCACGGAATAGGCATTTTGGTAACAAGCCAGATGCTAACATCTCAGATCAACATCATGTGTGTTTATAAGAACTCCTTGTAACAGTTTACCCACAAGGACAACACAGGAACCTCTGCAGTGATTTCAACAGCATGTTAATAAGACAAGAACCACAAACAGGGCTCAGAATGAAAGATAAATGGGAAATTCTGTTAATGAGAATTCAGCACTTCATAAATGCTCACACAGTGCAAAGTCACAAGACTGACCCAGAAGTAATATCAAGACTACCTGTACAATCGCATTATTTGGGGATTAGCCTCCGAGTAGAAAATTTTTGGCAGAAACAAATAATGAATTTGCTTTACTAATGCACTTAAGTCATCTGAATGTCATTAGAGAATAAGACAAAAGTACTGCCAAACCTCCATCTGTAAGCACAGTCTAACTACTTGCTTTTTAAAGAATTTCAATCCTAACCAAAGCTGAAAACTTCTAAGTACAAGATTTTGAGCATCAAACCCCAAGGGACTTTGGCACACATTCCACTGACGATTTTTTTTAAGCAATGTATGCTTTAAAATAATCAATTTAAAAATCTTGTAGCAAAAAACTTTTGGGACACTTAGTCTTGAAATCCCATTGCATCCAAAGGGAGATAGATACCTATTTCTCCAACTTCTCCACAAAACCCACCCTAATTCAAACAGTTTCTCACTCGAAGGTCACTCCTGCCTCCAGCAAAGATCACTCCCAGCACTGCAGGAAGAAAGTATATTCTCCAGGAATTCCCAATACACTGATAGCCAGAACATTTGGTAAGGCAAAACATAAAAGCAGGAATACATTTTCTGTTCAACAAGTATAAGAGCTTTGCTTCTCTTACACTCTAATTCCTCACATGAAAAGTCCTGTCAATAAATAGTAAGCTAGCAAGAAGAAAGAGCCACTAGACTAGAATTACATTAGCTGAACTGTAACCTGCTGCCAGTGAGAAGATGAACCTCTTCATATGTATTGCTTGTCATTTTCTCTCAGCTCATCACAGAAAATTAGAGGTAGTGTCATCTGGCCACAACATCTGCTGAGGGGGAATCTCATCACTAGAGTCACAACCTGACAATATTGCTTTTCTGCAATTTTGGTGTCTTTATTAGGATTAGTTTCTTTATTGGTTTTTATACTGTCTAGGCACGCTTCCTCATAACGCCTGCTGAAAGAGAGAGCAAAAGGAAGTTCTACAAACATACTAAAAATTTAACAATGTTCTTAACTGCCTCTGTGCAACTGAGGTCGGTAACTGCTTAAAAGAATGAGCCACAAAATTTAGAAAATGCATTTTGGCCCAGGAAGTACACTATTTAGACTTCTGAGAAGGCAACACATTGACCTGTATCTAAATGCAGGAGTACCCCAGGTGCTCAGCACAGAGAAAAGAGAATGGCTTCTGCTAGAGACATGCAGCTATTTGCTGCAGCTTCCACACAGGCCTGCCGCAAAACGTGCTGGAGGGAGTGGAAAGGTCCCAGGGGCCACAAAGGGGTTTGGGGATTTAATACTACTACCAACAAAATCAGGCCCTTACTCCTGTTTAGGTCAGAACAAGCCACACTCTCGCTGACCCTTTGCAGGACTCCTTCAAGAGACATTATGATGTGTTTAAAGGGGAAGCCCAAGCCCCCCGCCAAACCTTGCAACACAGCTGAATGTGCTCCCTTGTACTTTGTGAAGAGCCTCAACAGAGGTTCAATTCCTGGTATATTACCAACTCTTTTTTAAGGCTTTTGTTGTATTATAACTTTTCATCTGTGGTACTAAGTTTTACTTCATGTGCATTGTAGGACATGGACAAAACTTGCTGGGGTAGCTCCATCCATGCGCCAGTGTGCTCAGGCTTTCCTTGCTTAATGTGCTTTTCATATCTCATTCCCACCCATACCCCTTGCAACCCAATCTGATCAGGTCTCTCCCATTTCCCTTAGCTTTACTTGCAGTCTTTGGTTGTTTTCTAAATATGCTTCTGTATGCCACATTTTAAATGGTTATAATTTGCCATACTGTTCTTGGAGAGCAATCATTATAATGAACTGGCAGCCTGTCAGAGCTCTACACAGGAACTGAAATAGCCCAAAGGGATTTTAAGTCTAGAAGGCAATCAACTGCTGACTCTTCAATGTCATACATGTTTACAGAAAACAAAAGCCACTTCTTTTAGAGGTCAGACATCAGATCACTTATTCTATGAAATTCACATTTCATCCTTCTTAAACAGTAAGGCAGTACAAGATATTCTCAGCTATGATCTCTTTGATGATCTCTGGACTTAATAGAAGTCCACAAACAACCTTTATTCAACCACACATTCCTCTAAGAGGAGTGTCCTTAACTGTCAAAACAAAAATCAGTTTTACAGGTGTGTCGTGCTCATTTTCAGCCTTGCTAGAAGCAGAACAAAAAGTTAATGCTGTTACTGTATCAACATGTCTTTAATTAAGCTAATAGTATTATACATTCTCTTCTAACTCTTACTTTACCTCCCAACAAAACCACTTTAAATTAAACCAGCTAAATGCACTGCAGACACTCTTCCTATTATTAAAGATACAGCAGCATGTCTGCAAAGAAATATGACTAGATCTCATTAACTGTCATAGAAAGAGCTGAGACAGAGCTGCCCAACTCCCCTCCCCAGCCCCTCAGACCATGCCATGCCCCTGGGCTGCTCGGAGCAACAATATTTACTTGGAGAAGCCATTAGAACAAGAACTATATTAGTTCCTAAAAGCAACAATTCTTCCTGCCACATCGACAGACCTACCTTTGCAGGATATAAGGTCTGTCAATGCAGTACACTAAGGGGTTTCTATGCCTTCACTTGCCATTCCAAGATTTCATCCCATGAACAGGTTTGGCTGCATTTTTTTATGCCACCTTTCCCTTTCCCGTCCTTCAGCTACATCTCTGACCCTCTGCCAACTAAACTGAAGGTCAACCATTTTTTGTAGTTAAGATATGGGAAGAAGATACCATGCCAACCGGGGAAGAACAGTCTAGAATAGGAACACTGATGTTACAAATGGCAGAACCTAATCCCCTCCTGTGCATGACCTATGGTTCATCAACCCAAGACAAGATTATTCAAAAGCACCAACACTTGAATGAGGCCATCAAACACCACACACCTGCATACAATCTGCATCAGACAAGCCACTGTCCCCTGAAGGTTACAAAATAGACAAAGTAAAAGCTTCAGATGCATCTCAAGCTTCTGAGCTTTGTCCCAGGGTTACCACTGGCCATACTACCTGGGGTATCGCTTAAAGTCACAGATGCTGGATAATGAACTGGAAAGATACTTCTTTATCCAGAGGCACCTGGCAATGCACATGCCTCCTGTAAGAGCCTGGTGGACATGACAACAACACTTGTCATGATTTTTTTCCAAAAGAGATTTAAAGCACTGTGTTGTACAAATCAATAGACTAATCAGATCCTCTGCAAGTGTTTACCCAGGTGCATTTTCTTTCCTGTACATGATACAGTCTCCCTTTT